GTTGATTTTGTATCATAAAGAATTAGAGTGGGTCAATATCTTGGTAAGAACAAAAAAATACTTTCAAGTTCATTATTAATTTTGTTTCTTTTTATATTTTCATTCATCAATATATACGTGAGATTGGCAACCTTTTGCAGTCTCTGTCTCATATCTGATATGTTTTTATGTTTCTTTTTCTTTTATTTTATGTGAGATTTTTGCGTGAAAATTGAAAAATAATACGTACAAGTATTGCCAGAATGATCACCGATTTCTTTCATTAAACTCGATATTCACCAAGTGAAAGTAATGTTACATGCAAACGCTTGTTATTTAAGTATTAAAATAAGAAACGCTACTTCAAGATAAATCACCCTAACTTCTAATAATAACTTTGAGCTTTCTTCAAGAAACACTATTTCAAAGGATCAATGATCCGGACTGCAATTTGTAATAATAACGTAGCTTTCCCGTTTGGTTCATGGATTAGAACCATGAGATTAAAATTATTTTCAATTTACGTGTATTTTTTGTGAGAGAAAATACTGTAGCGAACCATGAACCATAATTCAAATCAGAGAACGAATCCTCCAACCAAACGGATGTTATCGATATATATGTGTGCTAGGTTCTGTTTTAATCCTTTATTTTTCTTTTTTTATGGTAAAAAAATAATCATTCATTTTTTCCCATTGCTCCGTAATCATTCATTTTTAAGTGAAGATTGGTTTGATGGAATGGAATAGAAATAAAAATGTAATGGAATAATAATAAGAATAAATTTTCCAAAAAAAAAAAAGAATAAATTGAATAGTCATTTCACATTCAATTGTTTGGTTAAACATTATAATAGATCTATTGAAATTACAATTATTATGTTTTGTTAGTCATTAGAACATAATGGAATAGTAATCATTTTGACAAAAATACCCCATCGTGTAATCATTAACGATGTCTAAAAACGATATTCAAATATGTTTTAAATTGATTTTTCTTTAATTTCTCTCGATGTTTAAAGCTATTATTTATTTGATGTAACTAATATTCAAAGAATTTATTTTTAATATATGACTAATTACTCAAATTAGTAAGAAAATAAAAGTATACCATATAAAACATGAAAAGAGTTTTCACGCTTAATTAGAAGAAGGACAAACTCCACTTCATAACATCAAATATGTATATACTTTACCCTTAAAAAAAAATATGTATATATTTTATATACATGTCAAGGTATTTGAGAGGAAATTTTAGAAAATTAGGAGGGATAAATTTAGAAGAAAGAGTTTTAATTAATATTAATTTTAAAATGGAATGATTATTTAACTGGTTTATTTTAGAAATTGTTATTCAACTATTGTGGTGAAATAGTAATTCCATAGGAATGGCTATTTCCCGTGACTTTTTGCCTTAGCAAACAACATAAGAATGACTGACTTTTAGGAATTGTAATTCCACTCCGTCGTTCCATTAAACGAAACGTATCTTTATATGTGTCCAAAATCGTTTGATGCAGTGGCATTAAAAATTTAAGTAGGGTGATATGGAGTTTTCTGAGGAAGTTGTGGAATTCGATCCCACTATTTATTAAAATGTACATATATACGTGAATCTTTATTACTAGAAAAAAAAAAAAAAAAAAAAAAAAAAAAAAAAAAAAAAAAAAAACCACAATTAGGCTGGCCTTCGGAGTCCTAACATTAGAGAAGCGTTATGGGCTGGATGGGTTTGTTCCTCATGGTGGTTTCGGCTTCATGGCTTGAGAGCCAAATGTGGTTCGGCGAACCAAATGGGAGGGGCTAGGCTTTTGGTCAGCTGTGCTTTGCGCAACAGAAGCTCGGTAACCCTACAACATCGGGTTCTCATCATCCTCGTCGCGGTGGCCATATAGGTGGGGCATGTGCGTGGATGTGCACTCAACACAGGTGGTGGAGTTGCATTGCTTCCCGTAGGTGTCATGGTGGTGCTTGTCTCTTGGTGTTCTCAGTTCCTTGTTGCACTGTCTTGTCTATCCTTTGTGGTCACGTTAGTCGGCTTGTCATTAGTGGTTTTGTTCGTGTTACCGAGGTGTTTTTTTAGACCCTTTCACTTCGTTGATTTGAGTTTGTAATTCAAGTTGAGATGTAATTTTATGTGAGAGCTTTTTACTGTAGCAAAAAAGTTAGATATGACTGTTTCTGAGAACTTTTTACTGTAGCAAAACTCAAATTCTAAACTCGAATTGGTGAAGTGAGCGGGGCTTGTTTGTTTAAAATTAAGGCAACGTTATTTCCGCCACATAGGTCTTGCATTATGTGTTTGAGATTTTGTTCTGTAATAATGATAGTAGTTTCCCTACTCTTGAGTTTTGTTTGTGTGTCCAATTCATTAGAGTTAGTTCTACGTGGTATTGTGAGTGATCATTGTACTAAGGATCTCTTGATCTTGATCGATTGGAGTAGTCAATCGATTATAAAGGTGTTATTAACAGAGGCATTTTTGTGCTCATTGTTTGTGTTCTAATTCGGTTTCCTGTTATTGACACTTGGTGCACAATTTATCTCCTTGTGCATTTCATATGAACTTACTAATGGATTTGGTGGTGTGTGATTGGAGTTAAGTATCCTTATGCTATGAAGTCATTTAAATACATATTTTTGTGTGCATCTCGTTGATTTGAAATACAATTACCTTAAAAAAACTAAAAAACCAAACAAAAAATAAGCAATTATTTGCATTCACATGAGCATTTAGTTACTCTCTATGTGCAATAGTATTTTGTTTTGTTAGCCTTTTACACAAATTTTATCATTGTAAAGGTTTTTCCCCCTTTTTCACGCTATACATACAATTACGGGTTACAATTCCTGGTGTATGGAACTTATAGATTATGTTGCAACATATAAGCCCTTTTTTGGGCTCACGAAAATAAGTTAAAGCCAATTGCTTCATTAAAAAGAAAAGAAAAGAAAAGAAAAGTTAAAGCCAATTGTACTCCAAGTAACAGCATCGATAATCGCATAGGTAATCTAACTACAAAAGATGTTAGGTGGAAGTATATGCAAAATCCTGATTTAAAAAATAAAAAGTATTTAAAATTTAAAATGATTGAGGATGATTGTGTTTGAAGCTTTATTCTTATCTTAAGAAATACTTTAGCAACACTAATGATACAAAGTGTCTATCATAGTAAAAGCTTTATCGAAGTCAAACTCAGTAGAAAAAGCAGCAATCAGTATATTCGGTCGTATAACATTAATGTACATTAATGAGCAAAATCTAACGAACAAAAATATTTTAAAAACTTTAGAATCCACATTCTAGGTTTTGCAGTCCTGGTGCTTTGGTGGGGATATTTTTGACATTTCCTCCAAGTTTGAAACATCCGCGCCAATCCTTTTCGTACTGGTTTGTGCAATTTTTCTTTTAATTAAAAGGCACAACCATGGTGTTACTGTGGTGTGACAGACACATGGTGAAAACTACGATGAGCCACTCATCGTGTGCAGGTCTATGTCCATTATTTGTTTTTGGAACATTAGGATATTGGATGGCTGACATTGTAGTGGATATATGTTGTTTCTGTTCATAGCCATCTGCAAATGGAGACCCGTTCACTTCACTAATTTGAGTTGAGATATGATTTTATGTGAAAGTTTTTTACTGTAACAAAAAAGTTAGATGTGACTGTTTCTGAGAGCTTTTTACTGTAACAAAAATCGAATTCTAAACTCGAATCGGCGAAATGAACGGGGCCGATCTGTGCTTTTCACAACTCAATTTTTTACGTGAGAAAAAACACTATAACAAAAAATGTTAAATTTAAATTTTTATGAGAGAAAATATTGTAATAAAAATTTGAGTTATAAGTTAAACAGAAAGATATCTTATGAAAAATGCTAGTTAATCCATTTTTATTTAAGATCTATTATTTGTTTAATTGCAGACATTTTTTTGTTAAAAAAAAAAATGAAATACAATGTTTTAATTCATGAAATTTTGACACTTGCAGAAGGTTAAAATTCTTTTGAAAAAATAGAGGCGCTCGTATTATAGGATGGCTCTCAAATGTGAATATTAAAAGAAAAAATGATTTGTAAGTTAAAATACTCACTTTTAAGGCTAATATCCTTACAATTTTTTTTTAAGGAAATATATCCATACAATTTTAAGATTTCTACATGTTTTGTAACTTTAAATCTTCTCTTTATACATCTAATTTATGAGTTATATACGAGAAATAGTAACCTATAATACTGGCTTTTAAGAATTCTTTGGTATGCAAATATATAGATAGATTAAAGTTTTTATACGTTAAATTTATATAAAATAACTTAAAATAAAAAAAATATACATATTCAACAATTAAAAAAAACTTAAAAAAAAGGGTGAGGAGATTGCTATGCAGGAAGAAAAGGAAGTAAAGCGCAAATAAAGAAATAAATGGGGGGAAGTATTTAAGTTTAGGAATATGGTGGGAAATTGAGATGACTTTATTGGATCCTGTGAGGACATTCTCACTGTTACACATGTTTATCAATTTGTTAGGCAAAGATAAAGGAAACATGGAATGATGAAAAGTGGAGGCAAAAGAAAAGGAAAAAAGAAATCCAAAGAAAACCCTCTCCAAAAAAGTATTCGTTGATATCAGACAAAGGTAGAATACTGAAAGAACACAAGGAAAAAAAATAAAAAACAAAAAAAAAAAAAGATATCTCTAACTATAGTTGTTGCAGTAACAAACAGACATAGAAGAGAGCAGAAACATCAGTAGTATTCTGTAGTTGTTGTTGCTAGAAAGAAGTAGCTTCTCTCTCTCTCTCTCTTGAAGATAAAGCCGAGACTTAGTCTCGCTATTATCTAGTAGTTTATTGTAACAATACTTTACCTGTTAATATCTTTAGTTAGGATATATATCTTTTTGTTATTCTATCTTATTTATCGTATATAGTTAGAATAAGTTTGTTAGGTTAAGATTACTTGTATTATATATACTTGTACCATTCATTAAATAAATCAAAACCTTTCTTAAACATTATCACTCTCTAACTCTTTGTCTCTTTCTCTCTCTAACTCTTTGTCTCTCTCTCTACCTTCCATTCCATATGCCCACCGAAGCAAACAATCATGATGAAACACCCTCTGCACCCAGCACTCCGGAAAAGCATAATTTCTCTCCCTCATCAAAACCTTCTTTCTTCCCTTAAATTTACCTCTCTTATTAACACATATTCTGACTCACCCTTTACCACCTTCACCACACCAAACCCATAACCATGAAACCTCCTTTTCCTCTCCCAATTCTCACCACCTTCTTCATCTCGTTCTTTCTCCAAACATTATTCACACTAGTCCTCTCTGCAACACCATCACCATCTCTTCCATTTCAGCTTATTGCTCTCCTCTCTCTAAAATCCTCCCTTAAAGACCCTCTCTCCACCTTCCATGACTGGGACCCAACTCAGGCCTTCTCCAACCAAGACCCCATTTGGTGTTCCTGGTCAGGAATCAAATGCCATTCATCCACACCAAGAATAACAAGCCTCGACCTCTCTCGTCGCAATCTCACCGGCGCAATCCCACCCGAAATCCGCTACCTTTCGAGCTTGACGCACCTTAACTTGAGCGGCAACGGCTTTGATGGACCGTTCCAAGCCGCCATTTTCGAACTCGCCGAGCTCAGAGTTCTTGACATTAGCAGAAACAACTTCAACTCCACTTTCCCACCGGGAATTTCGAGGCTTAAGTTCTTGAGAGTGTTCAATGCTTACAGCAACAGCTTCACCGGCGCGTTGCCGCGAGAATTTGTCCACCTACGTTTTCTTGAGCAGCTTAACCTTGGAGGAAGCTACTTCAATGGAAGTATTCCAACGGATTACGGAAGTTTTCAAAAGTTGAGAAGTTTTTACTTGGCTGGGAATTGGCTCAACGGATCAGTACCACCTCAATTAGGCTTGTTATCGCAGCTCGAGAGACTAGAAATCGGATACAATGCCTTCTCCGGCGGGCTTCCGAAAGAATTCGGACTGTTATCGAATCTCAAGTACTTAGACGCCTCCAATGCCAATCTTTCCGGACCTATCGCCGCGGAGCTCGGCAACTTAACGAAGCTGGAGACGCTGCTACTTTTCGAGAATCGGCTTTCAGACAAAATCCCGGTGAGCTTCGGAAACCTTGAAGCCCTCAAGGTGATCGATTTATCGGATAATAGGCTGACGGGAGCCATCCCGGGAGAACTCTCGAAGTTGAAAGAGCTAACTCTGATGCACATCATGAAAAATAATCTGACCGGAGAGATACCGCAAGGAATCGGCGAGCTTCCGAACCTGGAAATCCTGCTTCTCTGGAACAACTCCTTAACGGGGATAATCCCTCAGCAGCTTGGATTCAGCGCGAAGCTGACGAAAGTCGACCTGTCCACGAACTCGCTCACGGGTCCGATCCCGCCAAATATTTGCAACGGAAACAAGCTTGTCAAGCTCATTCTCTTCTCCAACAGGTTAGTCGACTCGCTCCCGAGCTCGTTACCAAACTGCAGTTCTTTAGCTCGTTTCAGAATCCAGAACAACAACATCAACGGCTCGATCCCTTCCGGTTTCGGCCTCATGCCGAGCCTGAGCTTCGTCGATCTTAGCAGCAACAACTTCACCGGTCCGATCCCGGAGGATCTCGGCAATGCGGTGGCGATCGAGTACCTCAACATCTCCCAAAACCCCTTCAACGTGACCTTGCCGGACAACATCTGGAACGCGACCAATTTGAAGATTTTCTCGGCCAGTTCTTGCAGACTCAGCGGTAAAATTCCGGATTTTGTTGGTTGTAGAAGCATGTACAAGATGGAATTGCAGGATAATTCGTTTGATGGTAATGTTCCTTGGGATATCGGGCACTGCGAGAAGCTGATTTCCTTAAATCTAAGCAGAAATTCCCTCACGGGAATTATCCCCTGGGAAATTTCAACTCTCCCGTCGATCACTGACGTCGATCTTTCTCATAACCTCCTCACCGGAACGATTCCGTCGGATTTCGGAAAGTGCAGCACTCTGGAGACCTTCAACGTCGCATTTAATAGGCTTACAGGTCCGATTCCGGTGACCGGAGCGGTCTTCCCGAACCTTCACCCGTCATCGTTTTCCGGCAACGAGGGATTATGCGGTAGAGTTCTCGCGAAGCCCTGTGCCGCCGACACGCTCGGTGCCGGCGCCGTTGAGGTCAAGCGGCAGCAGCCGAAGAGGACGGCCGGAGCCGTTGTGTGGATAATGGCGGGGGCCGTGTGAGTGCAGGCGCCGCCGGCCGAAGAGGCCGGCCGGAGCCGTTGTGTGGATAATGGCGGCGGCGTTCGGGATCGGGCTATTCGTCCTCGTCGCCGGGACGCGGTGCTTCCACGCGAACTACAGCCGGAGGTTCGACGACGACGACCGCCGTGAGGTGGGGCCGTGGAAGCTGACGGCTTTCCAGAGATTGAATTTCACGGCGGATGATGTATTGGAGTGTTTGTCGATGAGTAATAAGATCCTGGGGATGGGGTGGCGGCGGCGTTCGGGATCGGGCTATTCGTCCTCGTCGCCGGGACGCGGTGCTTCCACGCGAACTACAGCCGGAGGTTCGACGACGACGACCGCCGTGAGGTGGGGCCGTGGAAGCTGACGGCTTTCCAGAGATTGAATTTCACGGCGGATGATGTATTGGAGTGTTTGTCGATGAGTAATAAGATCCTGGGGATGGGGTCCACGGGGACGGTGTACAAAGCTGAGATGCCAGGTGGCGAGATCATAGCGGTGAAGAAGCTGTGGGGGAAGCAGAAGGAGATCAGACGGCGGAGAGGGGTGCTGGCGGAGGTGGAGGTGTTGGGAAGCGTGAGGCACAGGAACATAGTGAGATTGTTAGGGTGCTGCAGCAACAGGGAGTGCACGATGCTGTTGTACGAGTACATGCCAAACGGAAACTTAGACGATCTGCTGCATGGCAAGAACAAGGCCCAGAATTTGGCTGCGGATTGGGTTACCAGGTATAAGATTGCCTTGGGAGTGGCTCAGGGGATTTGCTATCTTCACCACGACTGTGATCCGGTCATCGTCCACCGCGATCTCAAGCCAAGTAACATCTTGTTGGACGGCGAGATGGAGGCCAGGGTGGCGGATTTCGGTGTGGCCAAGATCCAGTGCGACGAGTCCATGTCTGTCATCGCCGGTTCATATGGCTACATTGCGCCAGGTGCGTATTGTTCTCATCACTTACTCATAACACATTTTTTTCGTTAATTTTTCTTCTTAATTATTATGATTATTTTTTTGGCTGGGCTACGACTTTTTGCTATCATACGCTGGGAATTAAGGGACTGTCTCAATGGGGGTTGACTTTTAGCTATTATAGATGAATATTTTCATTGTTATTGCCCTATTGCTTGGTTTGGAGTTATTTGGTTTCGTTGGTTGTGGCTGTTGGCATGTTGAGTTTACAAGTTAGATCATGTGTATTTGTTTAAACTTAAAGTGACGAAAGCTGAAACGCAGATAACGTGCTCCCATGCCTGCGTTAAGTTAAGACTAGCTGTATGTAATTAGAGACTGCAAGATCTGTGAAAGTTGAAGGGGTTGTTCTTTTAGAGTGTAATTTGAGTGTAATTTTTTAGTTAAGTTAAAGTTGTAATTTGAATAAAGTTGAGTAAAATTGAATAAAATTAGAACTTAAAAGAACGTGAACTTAAATAAAATTAGAACTCGAGTTGTCTTTTTTTAAATTTTTTTGACAAAAGAACACGCCGTATTTGCTTTTTTCTGTTTTTTTTGTTTTGTCTCTTCTAGATCCTTCAGTGTCCTCAGCTTTCATCTCTGTACCACAATTGGTTTGTGGCCGCATTAGTCAAAATTGTATCACACTTACTTTCCGTTTTTGAGGTGCTATAGTTATCAACTTATAAGCACAATTTATTGAAATTTGAAAAAAAAAAAAAAAGAAAAGAAAAGAAAAAAGAAAAAGTTTTAATTAACTTTAACGTATCTCATAATGGTGGGGTTAATGAATATTTTCGCCATAATAACAAATATTGCACTGTTCATTAGTAGCTATCTAATATCTTATCTTATTCACATAAAAGAAAGTTGATGCTGACATTTTCTCCTTGGCCGAAGGCTAATGTGATTAAGACTTCGCAATCATACTTTAATGCCCATGATATTCTATCTAAACATATTAGGAGTAGGGCAGACGTGCGTGGTGCGAAATATACCCACATGTCCTTTCTTTTCTTGTTTTTACTTCTTTTCTTCTTACTGTTCTCTCAATTTCTCTGAAACTGCTTCCGCTTTCAATGAATGCGGTGCGGTACTATTAATGCGCGTGGCAATGGCAGGTGTCTTTTTTCCTTTATTATTTCTCCCTTTTCCTTTTTACCGTAGGTCGGTTTTTGCTAGATATATAAATCTTCATTCTACATAATGCCGTGGACCCCACCACATATTTTTGTCCCACGTTAATGCTAAATAACAATTTACTACAATCACACATCACGTTCTATGTGAATGATATCATACTATTAATTTTCATGCATGTCATTACATTTGTACGTTAACTAATAAGGTTGTACTGTTTGTGTTCATTTGCAGAGTATGCTTATACCTTACAAGTTGACGAGAAGAGTGATATTTACAGCTATGGGGTGGTTTTGATGGAGATTTTATGCGGGAAAAGATCGGTGGTCGCCGAATTTGGCGACGGGAACAGCATTGTGGATTGGGTGAAGACAAAGATTAGGACTAAAGGTGGGATAGACGAGATTTTGGACAAGAACGCCGGGGCGGCGTGCTCGCCGGTGAGGGAGGAGATGATGCAGACGCTGAGAATTGCCATGCTATGCACCAGCCGGAACCCGGCGGACAGGCCGTCCATGAGGGACGTGGTGCTGATGCTGCAGGAGGCCATGCCCAAGAGGAAGTTGCCTGAGTCGCATGTAATATGCATTGGTGGTGATAGTAATGGGAGTGATGATATTCCTTTGCCACAAAAATTACCAGCCGCGGACTGTAATTAATATGAACGAATATTACTAATTTTAAGGGGGTTTCTCCTTTTTTTTTTTTTTCCTTGGGCTTTTTGGGTTTTTTGGGGGGTTTTTTTTTTTTTTTGGTTATTTTTCAAATGATGGGGGGATTGGTATAGGAGAAGTGATTTCTTATTTTATTTTCAATGGAATCTCGATCAGGTGTTATATTGTTCGGTTTTCCTTTGTGCTGTGTTTACAACTTTTCGGATGTTGATGAGTGCAAAAATATGCTAATTAAATGTCCGGCTTAGTTTGCAAAAAAGACTGTAGATCAACACATTTATATGATTACTAATTACGATCGAGCTTGTACATAATTTTCTTAAGTCATTTTAATTATATTATCACTAGCAATATAAGATACAACTGGGTCACCAAATACAAAATAATATCGAAGAAAGAAGAAAAAGATGTAATTTACCTTGTTAAAGAATGTCATATAATATACATTTGGTACTTGAATTTACTTCTAACTCTAAGGAAGAACAAGAAAATTAAACCGATGTCAGCCAGTCTTATGACTAAGAAGTATATGCTTTACACGAGAGACCATTAAAAGGAAATAGAGAGAATATTTCTTAAATTAACTCTAATAGCTATATACAATGAAAATAAGATTTGTTCTAACAGTTATATACAATTATGGGATATCTAGACCTTGTGAATCCCTTAGTGCTGCACAAGTTGCCAAATTTGATTTGAGAGGATGAGATCTTGACTTTCTTTTGGAGTGCAGCTAGCCGTTTGAGAGGATTTTGGATAATTTCAGTGCGTTTGGAATTATTTTTAAGTTGTTTTTGAAAATGTTTCCGCATGTCTTTTGAAGTACGAAAACGAAAACGGTCTATAAATCACGTTTGTTTAATAAAATTTTTGAAAAGGGACACGAAAACAAAAAAACAATGAAAATGGTTTTTGGGAAGAGAGTAGAAAAAGATTGAAAGTTATTTTCTCTTTTTCGTTTTCATTTTTTAGTACTTATCAAGAATGTTATATTAAAAAATTAATTATTAATTACTAATTATATTATATATTAATTAATAATTAATAAATAGATATACTTAATAACTAATATATAGATAGTAATTACTTAATTATTAATTAAATATTAATTTATTATTATTAAGTCTTTAATTTTATCAATCATATATTAGGTTAATTATAATCTATTAATTAATAAATAGTTGGTAAATAAAAAATAAATAGTAATTACTCAATTAATAATTAATATTAAATTATAATTATCAATATGTAATATACTAATTAATAATAATTAATAATTAATAATTAGTAATTTAATCATTATAAAAAGGATAATTATCAAAAATTGATCATGTGATATATCAAATAATAGATTATTAAATAAACATTTGTAATTAATTAACTAATTATTTAATTATGTAACTAAAAGTTAATAATTTAAGTAGTAAACAGAATATTAATAAATTAGGTATATACTAATTATTTTTCTTAGTATACTATATATAATTTAATTACTAATGTACTCAGTAATGGTAATTTATCCATTGTTATTATATTATTAATATATTAATTTTTTTTGCTAAATAATTATCAATTATTAATTACTTAATATATTAATTTAAGATTATTAATTACATGTATTCAAAACAAACATAAATGTAACCAAATACGATTTCACTTTTTTATCATACTCAAACCAATCTCTTAAAAGACCACCAAACGTAATTTCAGAATCAGTTCTAGAATGATTTTCAAAACAATATTATTTTCTTTTTTATACCGAAAACAAAATTATTTTGAAAACATTACCAAACGGGCCTCTAATTTTTCTCCATTCCCAACATATAAGGACTCATTTCCCTTATAAGGTGTGCCTTTGGAGACCTTACCAAAATCATTTAGTATGTGTGTTGTGGCACTTGAATCAGTATATAGAGTTGGGTAATAGTCATCATAGATGTTCATTGCGGCTAGACCTTACTTCAATGATGAGAACCCGTTTGCACACTTTAGAGCTGGGGTGTGTCTGGTAAGGGGATTCGTACTCTGATTCGAATTATAGTTCATAGTTTGCTACATTGTTTTCTCTCACAAAAAATACACGTAAATTAAAAATGATTCTAATCTCATTATTCTAATCTATGAACCAAACGTCTCCGGGTTAGCCTAACTACAAATTTAACAAACAACTTTACCTTGATAGGTTTGTGTGTTTGCAAGATGACTTTGATGCATGTCTGCATATATTTTGCCAATGTGCCGAACATGTATAGAGTCTCTTTGTTTGCTATTGCCATCACCAGCGTTGCCAACATCTTGCCTTCTTTCCTTTTTTTCTTTCACTAAAGTGAGCTTGTGGGGATTCCATGCGTTCTCCTTCTAGCTTTATCATCTGTTCATGTCCTTTCAAGGCTAGAACAAACTGGTTATAGGTAGTAGGATAAGGAGGTTTTGCAAGCATTGCCAAACGAAAATTTTTATATTTTGGTCCAAGACCCTTTGCTAATTGAAAAACCTTGTAAGTATATCATCTAGAGGCCTATTAATGGCCGCTAAATGATCACAAATGCTTTTAAATTTGTGAAGGTATTCATCAATAGATAAGTTTTCCCTTTTTAAAGAAATGAGAGTTTCATTAAGGAATACCTCATGTTCTTTGGTGTTGGGTAGAAGATGATCCCCTACAGATTTCCATACTTTATATGTAGTGACCAAGAAAATCTCAGAATTTTAATAATGTAATTCATGTATTTAAGTCAAGGATTTTCCTGGAAAATCATTATACTATGTACATTTTGTGATTGAAGGATTTATGGAATTAACATCTGCATTCCTAAATTCTGTAGCAGATTTCACGTTAAGTTCACATTTTTCCGATCAAGTAAATTCGATCGATAAATTCTCACCGTACTTTAAAACGGAAGAATTTCCAGTATAGATACAGTTAGAGAATCTTAATTTTAAGAATCTCCCAGCACAGTACAACCTAGCATCCAGAACCCGTATACATGAGAAAATAACTGTCAGTATGATTTTGGACAGTTTTAATGAGTAAGTTAAGGGAATGGACAAAAGTACAAGGTGTAGGTTAGTGTGTGTGATTTGATGAGATGTGATGAGAGAGGTGAATAGGACTAATGATTAGTTTTTTTCTCCTTTTTTCTCTTCACTTGGCCGGCCATCCTTAGGAAGTTATATCCAAAAATTTTGGTTATATGTTGAGTATGTTAGAAGGCTACAAGTTAAGGTGATGGGATGGTAGTGGTTGAAGGGGAATTAATGGCAATTTTGACTTCTCCTTTTCTCCTTCCATAACCGGCCAAGATTGGGGAAAATTGAACCAAAAATTTGGTTGATTGAGAGAGTTGATGTGGTGTTAAAAAAAATAATTTCCAAGTGCCTATAAAAGGAACCACCATAGGATAAGCCTCATTTTTTTCCCTAGCTTTTCTCTCCCCCTCAAAATCCGGCCATACCATACTCCCCCACTCTTTCTCAAATATTTTCTCCTACTCTCCCAATCTTGAGCCACTACAAACCATAGAAGAAGAAGAAGGAGACCAAAGGGTCTAGGAGGAGTCTAGACAAGCATTTTTTCAAAGGGTATAACTCTAAATCCTTTTTTTATGTTTTAGTAAAGTTTGAAATGTAGAAATATTCCTCTTAAATTTCCTTATACTTTCTAGTTCCAAGCCAATAACAAATCTTAGAGGAGTTCAAAGTTTTCAAGGGAGAGAGATAGTTCTTCAAGGGTAAGCTCTCAAACTCTTCTCCATTAATTTCTAGCCAACTTTAAGCTTGGATTTGTGGATGTAAATTTGAGGTTCTTGAGGAGATGAGTTGTAATAAGGGTGTGTGAGTTTTATGTTAGTTTTGTGAGTTTTGAGGTTAGCTTGATGTGGTATGTTTATGCTTGATTTAAGTTGCTTATTTTC